CACGTGCCCTATAACAAAAACCTCTCAAAAAAAAAAAAAAAAAAAAAAAAGAGAAAGAAAGAAAAGAAAAGGTACTTCCTGGGGGCCAGCAGCTGGCCCTGTGGGAGGCCAGTGCCCCAAACACCATGCCACCTGCTGATCTCTTGGTCCCTGTTTTGGATTTTTATTTATTTATTTATTTATCTTACAGTAGCATCTTTCCCAGGATGGGAGTAAGAAGGTCTCCGGGTGCTATGAAGAAATGGGGGACCTCACTAGGGGAACTTCTCTCAGCCGTGCCCTTAGGTGGCAGAAAAACATGCTGCAGTAAAGGCCGAGTTTATAGGGAGTGGTGATAAGGAAGCCACTGGACGCACTTAGAATGAGATGAATTCCACCCCAGAAAACTAAGGGGCTTACAGAGATCTTTCTGGGGTGAGCAGGAGAAGTGGCTCAAGATTGATTTCAATGCATGAGTCACTGGGGAAGAGTTTAAGAGACTTCCATTGTGACACAAAGGAGACAGAGCTGTGGTAGGCCACAATGGTATGGTGACAGAATAAAGACCCAGTCACTGGGGTTAGGGGATAAACACCAGAAGCCTGGAGGAGAGATGGAGCCCCAGCTCCTGGCCCCCCTCCCTCCCCTCCTTCCCCCCCAGGCTGTCTGAAATGTCACCTTCCACCTAACCATCATCTTCCCCAGTTGTGGGTGTTAACTCTGGTCTCTGACTTCTGCTTGGCTCCACATTCTCCACCCATTTGCACAGAGGACTGTCACCTGTCCTTCCTAGACTCTCTAAGGCTTTCTGCTTTCCTCGTGTCCTGATGGCCCACTCAGCTGAGATGCCCACCCTCTTCAAAATCCCGAACCCTACTCCTGATCTTCACCAAGAGTCTTTGGACCCTCGGGTTATCATTGCCTTATTCGACATTGGATCACTCCCCTCCTTTTCCTGGGGCTCTACACCTTCCCTAAATAATAGTAGTCATCAAGTAAAAGAACAACAGACTGCACAGAAGTTTGAAAATCTCTTAAGAGAAGTTAAAGATATTATTAAAAACGTGGCAAGTTTGGAAGAGAATATCACGGAAGCAAAAGAACTTTTTGAGATAACCAGTATTTCCCAGGATGTGTCTGAACTTAAAGAAAAAATCAGAGGACTTGACAAAACAAACAACATGCTCATGGAAAACCTGTTTATTAGTTTAGAACCAGAGAAAGAACAGAATGCAAAGAAACTGGAGATGCTACTGATAAACCAGAAATCTGCAAACACAGTACACGTTCCTCAACAGAATCTGGCAAATCATTTCGAAAAAATAGCTCTTGACAAAACTCAACTAAGTAAAGAGAAAGCAAAGTTCCTTTATGTGCCAGGAGGACATATTAAACTTAGGAACAACATGGAGCAGTTACTACAGGAAGGTGATTTCTTGCTTTCTGTCTCTCTCTCTGTCTTTCTGACAAGTGCACGTGCCCTATAACAAAAACCTCTCAAAAAAAAAAAAAAAAAAAAAAAAGAGAAAGAAAGAAAAAAAAAGGTACTTCCTGGGGGCCAGCAGCTGGCCCTGTGGGAGGCCAGTGCCCCAAACACCATGCCACCTGCTGATCTCTTGGTCCCTGTTTTGGATTTTTATTTATTTATTTATTTATCTTACAGTAGCATCTTTCCCAGGATGGGAGTAAGAAGGTCTCCGGGTGCTATGAAGAAATGGGGGACCTCACTAGGGGAACTTCTCTCAGCCGTGCCCTTAGGTGGCAGAAAAACATGCTGCAGTAAAGGCCGAGTTTATAGGGAGTGGTGATAAGGAAGCCACTGGACGCACTTAGAATGAGATGAATTCCACCCCAGAAAACTAAGGGGCTTACAGAGATCTTTCTGGGGTGAGCAGGAGAAGTGGCTCAAGATTGATTTCAATGCATGAGTCACTGGGGAAGAGTTTAAGAGACTTCCATTGTGACACAAAGGAGACAGAGCTGTGGTAGGCCACAATGGTATGGTGACAGAATAAAGACCCAGTCACTGGGGTTAGGGGATAAACACCAGAAGCCTGGAGGAGAGATGGAGCCCCAGCTCCTGGCCCCCCTCCCTCCCCTCCTTCCCCCCCAGGCTGTCTGAAATGTCACCTTCCACCTAACCATCATCTTCCCCAGTTGTGGGTGTTAACTCTGGTCTCTGACTTCTGCTTGGCTCCACATTCTCCACCCATTTGCACAGAGGACTGTCACCTGTCCTTCCTAGACTCTCTAAGGCTTTCTGCTTTCCTCGTGTCCTGATGGCCCACTCAGCTGAGATGCCCACCCTCTTCAAAATCCCGAACCCTACTCCTGATCTTCACCAAGAGTCTTTGGACCCTCGGGTTATCATTGCCTTATTCGACATTGGATCACTCCCCTCCTTTTCCTGGGGCTCTACACCTTCCCTAAATAATAGTAGTCATCAAGTAAAAGAACAACAGACTGCACAGAAGTTTGAAAATCTCTTAAGAGAAGTTAAAGATATTATTAAAAACGTGGCAAGTTTGGAAGAGAATATCACGGAAGCAAAAGAACTTTTTGAGATAACCAGTATTTCCCAGGATGTGTCTGAACTTAAAGAAAAAATCAGAGGACTTGACAAAACAAACAACATGCTCATGGAAAACCTGTTTATTAGTTTAGAACCAGAGAAAGAACAGAATGCAAAGAAACTGGAGATGCTACTGATAAACCAGAAATCTGCAAACACAGTACACGTTCCTCAACAGAATCTGGCAAATCATTTCGAAAAAATAGCTCTTGACAAAACTCAACTAAGTAAAGAGAAAGCAAAGTTCCTTTATGTGCCAGGAGGACATATTAAACTTAGGAACAACATGGAGCAGTTACTACAGGAAGCGGAACACTGGAGTAAGCAGCATCTTGAGCTCAGTGAACTGATCAAGTCCTATCAGAAATCTCAGAAGGACATAAGAGACACTCTTGGAAACAGCGCAGTCTATTCGCAAGTCCAGCCAAACAGCGACCTGTCAGCTAAGCCTGAGTTGGAGGAACAAGTGAAGAAGTTGCACGAGGACACTCATTCACTGCATTTGATGGCCGCGTTGCTGGCAAACGAATGCCAGATTTTACAGCAGAGAGTAGAGATTCTCAGAGAACTTCACCATCAGGAAGAGAGAAGCCTGCGAGAGGAGCCATTTCAGATAAGCCACGTCCAGTACAAGAACCATCCGCAGCCAACAGAAGCAGAGAAAGTAGAAACTGACGAACAGAACATGAAAGAAATGGAGGGTACATTTCAGAGAAAAGACAGATTCTATCGAAGCCTGGATGTTTGTCATAATAAGAAAGCCCGTAATAACCGGTTCAATGCTCGCATTGCAAGAAGAGCTCTTCTAGGGAGAAAGAGGCCAGCCAGCAGCCTAAGATAGGAAATACCAAAAGTCAAAGAAAAGGTAACTCCCAAAACATTTCACCTCGTACGCCCAACTTCAGGCATTACCAATCACTAGCCCTAGCTCTGCTCACTCAACCAAGAAAGATCACGCTTATGTTCTCCATTATCTCGTAGTTACGTAAGTTTCGTCTTTCACGACTGTTGTGTCAGCATCAGCTGACAACTTTACAATCTACTCCTGTTTTGTAGCTATTAGAGATCCTGCCACATGTTAACCAAGAGTGAGAAGTTGCAGGTCCATTTAAGTAAAAACACAAATAAAAACCAGAATATGAAGAAAAGAACTTTTTTCTTTATTTAATCATCACTTGGGAGGTAAGTTCTGGGGAAAAGTGTATAATGCTTTGTGACCTTTTAAAGCTCACTTTTTTTTTTTTTTTTTAATAAAGTTTTTGACAGGTCTGGCAGGTGATATGGTGGTTAAGGTGCCTGATTCCCACATGGCAAATCATGGTTTGAGTCCTAGATGTGGTGGCTTGCTTTCTCTCTCTCTTTCTGTCTCTCTCTCTTTGGTGAGCACATGTGTCCTCTGGCAAAATTTAAAATAATAATAATAATAAAATTAAATCACATAATTCTTAAAAAAAAAAGTTTTTGTCATTTGCCTGAGAGAGAGAGAGTGAGACAGATAATGAGAAATCACCACCCAGGGGGATAACCACACTACAATCCCTGCTCCTCCATTCTCCCTTGAGATTTTGGGCACACGTGCCCAGGTGGTTGGTATGATTTTCAAGCTGTTGGGTCTGGAACTTGAACCATGGTGGGCCATGTGGGAGTCCAGTGCCTTAACCACCATATCTCACCTGCTGGCCCCGAAGCTCACTTCCTAAATATTTTCTTTTCTTATTATGTACACTGAAGAGTGTGATGTTGTGGAAAAAGAAAAGAAGAAAAATGCTGCTAAGCCACTCCTAAGCAAATCGTTTTCGTTTCCCACAAATCTCCCTGTGGTTGGCTCCACTTTTCCTAATGTTCCTCCCATTCTCCTCAATTAGCAAACTGTGGGCAGCCTGAGACTGTGTAATGATGCCTCTGGAGACAAATCCCTGACTTGTTTAGTAGAATAGAGGTCTATTTAAATCTTTTCTTTGCTGGAATTTATTTTCCTATCCCTCCAGGTAGGGACACCAGGAAAAGAATATCTCCAGTTATGCGAGTTGGACCTCAGGGTCCAAAAAATTTGGAGCAGATGTAGTTCCCCTTAAGCTTCTCAATTATCTAAAAACTCTGGATGTTATCTATAAGACAGGCATAAGAAAATTCTGAGAGGTAGAAAGAAGGAGGTGGACTAAGAAGGAACCCTGAAAGGTAAGGAACAGCATGGTGCTGACATCCTGGGTTACCTTTTTGCCTCTTATAGATCCTGAGCTGGATGCTGGAGGATCCTACAACCCAGAAATGTCAATGTATGCAGACAAAAAATGTTCTTCATAAGGCTGGCTTTCTTTTGTCAAAAGATGAGGGGAGGGGGGGTGGGCGGCGGGGAAGAGAGTAAAGAGAAAGCCTGGCAAGAAAGAAACCTTTGACAGAAACAACCCTAATCCAGCCAAATTGCATGGCAAAATAACACATCTCTACCCTCACCCCCTCACCACCAAATACTAAGTGGAGAGCCTTGTCTTTCATGCTTTTGCAGAGGACAGGTAGTAGTGAGGATGAAACAGAGGCAGAGTCGGGAGCCTGAAGTTCCACTCACTATCAGTAATAAGGTACTCTTCCCTGCCCCTTCCTCACTCAGTGGAGTAGAATGTCAGTGGAGACGACAGTGGTAGCCTGGATTTCTACCACTTTTCCTTGTTGGCACAGAATCAGTGGAGGTCTACTAAAACAAGATTTAATAAGATCCAGATCTCATATCATAATGGCTAAAATGACGAGAATAAAATTTTAAAAAAATTTTATATTAAAATCAAGACCATCTCCACTTGAATGAGAAAAGATAATTAACAGATACTAACGATAGGATGACATGTCATTGGAATTATCTAACAAGAATTTCAAGCTAATCATTATAAAAGTGTTTCAGTGCACAATTATAAACACACTCAAATGGAAAAATATAATGTATCAGCAAAGAAAAAAGAAGATATATCGGGACCAGCAATTGGCATAATGGCTATGTTGCTGGACTCCCATGTAGTTGACCACAGTTTGAGTCCCAGCCCTGGTGGATTAAACTCATGCTGGGTGCGTGTGCGTGCATGCCCAAGATCCCAAGAGGAGAATGGAGAAGAAGGGATTGCAGTGTGGCCATCCCTCTTGGGGGGTGATTTCTCGCTTTCTGTCTCTCTGTCTCTCTGTCTTTGTGGCGAGTGTGCGCACCCTATAGCAAAAACCTCTCAAAAAAAAGAAAGAAAGAAAGAAAGAAAGAAAGAAAGAAAGAAAGAAAGAGAAGGTATAAAGAAAACATAAATAGAATCATAGAGCTGAAAACATAAGCACTATACAATCACTGGACGTGCTAATAACAGGGTGTTGATTTCAGAGGGAACAGTACATGAACTTGAAGATAGAAGCAAGGAAATTACCCATCCTGAATAACAGAAAAATAGTCTGGGGAAAAATGTCTCACGGGCCTTTGTGGCAAAAGATCTAACATTAGTGTCGTGAGTCCTAAAAAGAAAAGAGAGTCTAGACTGAAAAAGTATTCAAAGAAATTATAGCTGTAAATTTCCTGAATTTAGTAAAAGGCAAAAACCTATATATTGAAGAAACTGAGTGAATTCCAAGATAGTTATACTTATAGTAGTTCAAAAGACATTCATAGCCAACTTCCTTACCCAAAAACAAAGTAAGTAAATAAACAAATAAATAAAGCATCTAAGGAGAAAAGGCTCCTTAGATATAGAGAAACAAGGCTGAAATGACAGTGGATTTCTCACCAGAAAGCATGGAAGTCAACATTTTTCAAGAACTGAAAGAAAAAAATGTCAATCGAGACTTGTTTTACCTAGAAAAAAATATCTTTTAGGAATGAAGGTAAATTATTAATGGGGGAAAACAAAGAATCTGTTACCATCTGTTGGGAGAACCATTTGGTTACACAATTAATTCTCATTTTTTTCTCATTCAAGAAAATATGATCCCTTTAGCTTTAGAGCTTGTTTCATTCCCTTTCTAAACAGAAATTTCACATAGGAGGTGCCGAATGAATGAGTAAAATGAGAAACTACAACATGACAGAGTTAAACAATCATTCCTTTTGTATTTTTTCTTGGGAAACTTTTGTTTTAAGGCACGTGCACTTGCATGAGAAGACAGAGAGAAACGGAAAGATGGAAAGAGAGAAATTGCCTGCCAGAAGGGATGGCCACGCCACAATCCCTCCTTCTCTATTTTCCTCCTGAGGTCTTTGGCACACATGCATACGTGCCCAGTGTGAGTTTTAAGCTACCAGGTCTGGGACTCAAACCACAGGTGGCCATGTGGGAGTCCAGTGACATAACTACTATGCCATCTGCTGGCCCCTTAAGCAATCGCTTCTTGTATTATAGCTTGTCTGTATGCATTACCTGAACAAATTCTGTATTACTTACCTGTCATCTCCAGTTTCTAAACTGAAGCACCACTGGTACCACAACAAACTCACAAGGAAACTGCAGGGTTTTTAATGTTTTGGGAGAAGCTCGGAAATACACAACATGTATTGCATGCCACACAATCTCAAGATAATTCAGTTTCAGCATTAGATAGCACTTGGTACCATACCAGAAGTGACATTTTGTGTTGGTGGGAAATCAGTCACATGCATCTGAAACTGACCAGGAAATGGAGTCTTTAGCTGGTCAGCCATGAGCTCAGGCAGAAGAAAGAACTAATCTTGAAAGATTCCGGGTATAGAGAACAGTATTTTTGTGTTGTTGCACAATAAGAGCTTTCTAAGCCAGATTTTTAAAAATTGCCAGGGCATGTACCCTCAGTAGAGAAAGAGAGAGAGGAGAGGAAAAAGGCACCCCCAGTGGGGCGTAGTCAGGCCACAATACATTCCCCTTGATTTCTCATTCTGTCAGGATTTGGGGCACACACGTTTTTCAACCCACTAAGGCAGGAATCAGAACTGCAAAATCCAGCTCCCTTAGCCACTAGATTATGGAGCCAGCCCTTTCTGAGCACATTTGACAGAAACTTGAGATCCTGAACAAAAGTTAGCTCTAGAAGATAATTTACATCTGTATGGATGGTGAGAATGCAAGAGATTTGTCTAATTTCAGAGATGTGTATTACAACTTTTTTTTTTAATAAGAAGGTCTTAATTTAAAAATATTCAATGATCAGGGCCAGCAGGTGGCATGGTGGTTAAGGCCCTGGAAAGTCTTTATTTAAAATCATTCAATGATCAGGGCCAGCAGGTGGCATGGTGGCTAAGGCACTAGACTCCCACATGGCTGATCACGGTTGAATCCCAGATCTGATGACTTTCTTTCTCACGCTCCCTCTCTGTCTCTGTTTCTCTCTGGTGAGTGCACACGCCTTGTTGCAAATTTAAAAATGATAATAATGATAAATAATATTCAATAAATAATTTTAAAAAGTATTTTAAAAATAAATAAATGAAAATATTTGATGATCATCAAAATCTTCACTAAACTTTGTTAAGTTTTTTAAGACAATTTTTGTGTTTTTTTTTTAGGTTTTGTTTTCTTTGCTATAGGGCTCATGCATTCCTTGAAGAGACAAAGAGAGACAGAAAGACAGAAAGCAAGAAATCACCCCCAGAGGGGATGACCATGATGTAATTCCTTTTCCTCTATTCTCCTCTCAGACCTTGGGCATGCACGCACACGTACCCAGTGTGATTTTTAAGTTGCCAGGTCCAGGACTTGAGCTGCTGTCCACTCTGTGGAAGTCCAGCGACATAACCATTACACCATCTGCTGGTTCCATTTTTACGACTTTTTTATCCATGGCTTAAACTATGATTTTTTTCCAGTGTTAAAAAGCCTAAATTGGTTCTAAAATCAAAGAACAGACAGAAGATCAAGTGGGTTGTAAACTTGGCAAAAATATGTTCTACTAAGAAAAAAAAGTAAAAAGATTTCAGTCTCAAAAATCTGTGACTATGGGGACCAGCAGGTGACGTGGCGGTTAAGGCACTGGACACTCCCACATGGCCTACCAGGGTGCGAGTCTTGAATCTGGTGGCTTGCTTTCTCGCTTCCTCTCTCTCTCACTCTCAATCTCTGTCTCTCTGGTAAAATTAAAAAATGAATTAATTAATTAATAAATAAAAATAAAATAATTATTTTTTTTTAAAAAACCTGTGACTATGTATGTA